CTCTCATTAGTGCTGTGAGAAGGGGGAGGGAGACGATGGGGGTCCCTACCCTGAGACACGATCGTGGGGGACAACAGGGCCTGGAGGGACACATTCCACTGTGGTTGTCCTGCAGGCCGCAGAGCCAGCCCTGGAGATGTACTTCAGGAGATCTGAGGTGGGAGAGAGGTTGCCACAGCTTAGCTTGGGTCCCTGACCCCCAGAAAAGTTGGAGGGTGAAAGGGGCTCCCAGGTTAGGGAGTTACTCTGTGTCCTGCTGCTCAAGTGATTGGAGGCAGCTAGAGTTTGGAGAGGCCTTGGCAGGGGGCGCTCCTGACGCTGCAGGTGCGGCCATGCCACCTGCCTCCGGGCCTCCTCTCTGAGGAGCCCTGAGGGCCGAGGTGGTCCTGTGTAGGGTGCTGCCCCTACCCCTGCCTCTCTCATCCTATCTGCTTTCATCATTCTCCAAATTCAGTCCATTGCTTCTGCTGCTGCCTAACTGTGTGTTGGAAGCACCGGTGGAGCTGTTTGCAAGGGGGGCTGTGGGTGAGCCCCCCAAACCTCAGAGTTCACCATTTAGTATGGGCCCCGGGAACAGAGGTGATTGGAGGGGCCGGAGTGAGGGTCATCAGAGCTGACCAGGACAGGCCACAGGATGGAAATGTGCCTGTCAAGCCCTGAATGCCTGGGGACCCCAAGGTTCTGTGTGCAGGACCCCTGGGAATGGCTTCCTTGCCCCCTCTCTCCCCAGGTACCCTGACCCTGGCGGGAGTCAGTGTGTACGTCAGCTACTCGCACCTGGCCTTCACAGAGACGACCCGCCAGTACGGCGCACAGCGAGTGCAGGGTGTGCGTATCAGCTTCGGCTGGTCTGCCGCCCTGGCCTGGGGCTCCTGCACCATGGAGGTGCTCAGTGGTATCCTCCTGCTCACCGCTGCCCACACCCTCAGCCTGAGCCGGCGCCCTGGCGCCCCCCACTCTGTGGTCATCTGAGTCCCAGGGGTAGCAGGTTGGGATGCTGCTGGGTCCCTTCCCTCGGAGGTCACTGGTCATCCTGGCTGGGTCATCCTGGAGCCCGGGGTGGGACGATGCACAGCCTACATGTGCTCGCAGACTGCCTAGCTCACTTCTTTTTAGAGATAAAGGTGGTCACTGGATTCTTGGCCACAGTTGGTGAGGCGTTTCCGGTTCCTGGGTGTTTGGGTTCCCTGGCCTCTTGGGGGTGTTGCTGCACTGCCCCCATCAGTCCTGCTGTGCCCATTCCTGGGGACCTGGGACAGTCCTGAGGGAGGGATAGGGCACCCTGTGCTCCCCTGCTTTCTAGCCCCACAGCCCTGCACGTGGTTACCATTCAGCCCGTTACAGAGGGGAGGCTGAGACCCAGATCACACCCAGATTCCCTTCTGGGTGCAGAGGCAGATGCCCTTGCAGGCTGCAGATGGTGTCCCCTGGCCTCTGTCCTTCCACTCCCTGCAACAGGGTTGGTGGCAAGGGATGAGGACCAGGCCCAGGCCTCTTATATTTGTAGACATAGAGAGAGTCCCCTCCCTGGTTTGCAGCCAGGTGGGTCCCTCTCCCTGCTGTTTCCAGGTGAGGAGTCACTGGGCTCTTGTCTGTCATTGTCTTGGTGTGGCCCTGCTCCTGCTGGCCCCAGGCCTGCTCCCCTGGGTATCTAAGCAGCCCTCAGCTGGCAAATGTGGGCATTCCAAGGAGAATGTTTTGGGGCCATGCCTCACCTGCCCAAGGTGCCTGGGAAAGGACTTCTCAACCAGAGGAGCGAGGGCTGCCAGGAGCCACAGGCCTGGCCTAGAGTTTTCGTGACAGACTTTTTTTTGTGTGAGACAGAGTCCAGGCTGTCCTTGAACTACTTATGTAGCCCAGGCTGGCTCTGAGTTCACAGTCCTCCTGCCTCAGCCTCCTGAGTGCTGGGATTATAGGTGTACACCACCATCCCAGACTTAGCTGCAGACTTCTTGAGCAGAAGGTAGAAGCCCAACCCATGGCTGGTCCAAGAATGAGACCTGGGAGAACAAGGTGGGCCTGCTACGTTGTCCTTTGCCACTTGAGCTGAGGCAGCCCCTTTTATGTTGGTTACGTTTGTGGCTATGGGCCAAGGAAAGAGCGTCCAGGGGCTGTGTAGCACCTGTGAGCTCAACAGCCCCATTTCGGGTGTGGGCCCTTCCTGAGTGCAGGATGTGTGCTAGGGAAGGTGGTACCCCTTGAGGTTCTTCCCCCTGGTCTCCCTTTATTGCTTCTACAGTCACAGGAAGCTTCTGGGGACACGGGGTGGGCGTGGCACAGCTTTGGCAGAGCCCATGGAGGACAGAGCCAGGCTGAGAGGGGCTGCCCTTGCCACTCCATGCAGGAACTTTTCTTTTTTTTGCACCGGGAATTGAACTCAGGACCTTGTGCTTGCCAGGCAGGCTCTGTGCCGCTGAGCTGAGCTATATTCCTGGCCCCATGCAGGAACTTTGTGCAATGTGCCCTTGAATAAATCTGCTTGTGCTGTGTACAATGTAAACCTGTTGTTTTTCTCTTAGAATTTTTCAAAAGAGGTAATATATGCCCATGTCTCACAAACACTACCGTCACCAGCTGTGTGTGCCTGCGCATGTGTGAGACCACCCCTCGCAGACGTCCTGCATGCATCAGACACACCCCTGGGCCAGCACTGGCTGGGAGGGGCCCTGGGCCTCAATGTGCGGGCAGCCCTCTTAGCTTGAGAGGAACGGTTTGGGGGCCTCTCCGCTTCCATCCTCTCAGCATCTGCTGAGGAGGCTTTTGTGTGTTCACTGGAAGCAGAGGTGGGGGCTAACAGTTTAGCTCCAGGGCCCTCTGACTATTGCTAAGGTTGGGCAATGGGGCTGGGACACTGGGGAAGACACACACCAGCAGCTGCAGGGACCTCCAACGTCGCCTGTGTGTTCCCGGGCACTGTGTGTGCATGCACAGCCAGAGCACTCGGCCAGGCCAGTTGAATCCCTCTCTGATGAGCAGGGGCCACAGCAGAGGGCCCGAGGGTCTCCTGTTATTTCACATGTGGGTGGCCTGCTTTGTGGCTGAAGGCAGGTGAGTGCTGCTCGGGGAAGAGAGTACCTGGTTCAAGGTTGCTGAGAACAGCAGTGCCGGTGCCTCGTGACTCACAGCAAGAGGAGAGAGGGAGGGCGGCTGCGATCACTCCTTCTAGAGAGCACAATAGAGCCAGGCCTGTGGAGTGGTCACTCCCCAAGGACAGGACCCTCTGCTTGAGCATCTCCCGTGATGCCTCAGCTCTGCCCCCTCCTCTGTCCTCCCTCTACACCCCTCAGTGGGCTGGCTGTGGTCACTGCCCTCTGATGCCACCTGTGCCTCCACCAGGACTTGAACAGTGAGGGCAAGGGCTTCTCTTGCGCTCAGACCCCACCTAGCCACAGGAGCCAGCTTCAGTATGGTGACTGGTGTCCTGGCACTCACCCCGTGTCACCCCACCCCTGCCACACTGAGTTGGGGCTGTCCTGGGTGTCCTGGCAACTCCTGCCCCAGCCTTTCAGTTGCTGGCCTGGGGAGCGGGGCAGTGAGCATTCCCACGGAGACAGCTACCAGTGCCTCCACCCACAGCCAGCCCAGCAGGCCTGCTGTGTGTGGGGGCCGCTGTGGAAGGCAGTAGCCAGATGGCATGGAGTAGCGGGTCTACAGCCTCTGGAGAGACCGCAGCCAGAACTCAGCCGAGCCATTCCTCGGCCCCTAGCCCACAGAAAGGACAAGAACTAACAGTGATTATCACATTAAGGTGCTGCTGTTTGGGAGAATCTGTTACCCAGCAACGAGTAACTAACCCCATGCATGTCTGCTGGTGCATGTCCCGGACAGAGCAGCACAGGAGATGGGGGTGACAGGTGAAGAGGTGCTGGCCTTCTTTTGAGTCTCTGAGTTATCAGCTGCTGGAGCACAGGAGAGCAGTTCTGGAGGCCTGGGGAGCCCCTAGTACTAGGTCTCCAGAGTGCAGATCTGGTTCTTTTCAGGAGCAGAGGGACAGTGAGAGGTCCTCTGCTGCAGGGCCCTCCTCTTCTCCTGTCACACTCCCCGTAGCCCAAGGCGTCACCATGCCGCTGTCTCCTACTCCTGTGCCTCTGGCCATCTCTGGAGCACTGCGCCTGTACTTCTGGCAGCTGCCTAGCCACCTCCACTTGGGACTCAACCTCGACTCTTAAGCTGAAGCCACTATTCCTGAGAAAGCCAGGCTCCCCCTGCATCCCTCCGAGGGGCCTGCTAAGCACTGAGGTGACGTACTGCTATGCTTTGAATCTTAGGTGTCCCCCAAAAGGTCTGTGCCAGGCCCAAAAGCAATGGGGCTGATTAAGGACTAAGGCCTCTGCAACTTGGAGCCACAACTAATTTTCTCTCTTTGAAATTTACCTCCTATAATTGTTGTGATAAAAAGCTAACATGGATCTCCCTTCTTAAAACACACACACATACACACACACACATACAGAGATTCATTTGCCTACATACATATCCAGAATGAAATATACACAAATATTAATGGTGATTATTCTAGGATGATAAAAATACAGATAAGTTTTATTCTTTTTCTATCATTAAAAACAATCTGTAAGATAAGCTGGGCATGGTAGCATATGCCTGTAATACCAGTACTTAAGAGGCTATCTCAGGAGGATCACCATGAGTTCAAGGCCAGCCTGAACTACATCTCAAGACTCTGCCTCAAAACAACAAAAACAAAAACGAACATATGCACACAAAACAAACAATGATCTGTACTTCCTCTCTGGTTTTTGATCAGTCCACCAGGAAGTTATCATCAATTTGATTACTCCATTCAAAAAACCAGCTCTGGGTCTGTTTATCTAGATATATCTTCTGACTTACTGCTCTCTTCACTAATTCTCTCTTCAGCTGTGTCTCATCTACTATCAAACCTATTCACTGAGACCTTAATTTATTGTAACTTTCATTCCTAGGATTTTCATGGAGTCATCTTCCAGTTTCAAGTTCTCTGTTAAAAACTTTACCTTGCCTTGTAATTCCTTAAATATTTTATTTTAAATTCTGTGTGTAATAACTCCATTATCCTCATCACCCACATGTCCGTTTGTCTGAGTTTCCCCTTGATTTTTGGTCACATCTTGTCTGACCCTATGCCTGGTTATTTCTGACCGAGTGAGGTTATCACCTGTGAGTCACTGTAGAGAAACCTGAGGCTTTGGATGGTGTCACCTCCCCCCAGAGGTTGGCCTTTACTTCTGGCAGGCTACTGGGCCACAGGCTCTGAACACCTCTCCCCATCTCGGTCCCAGCCAGGACATGCAGCCCCTGGTCACCCCGTCCTCAGGGCTCCAGCTGCCTCAGCACGAACTCCCACTTCCTCAGTGCGAGGTCAGTGTCCTGGGTGGAGACGCCACGGTGCCACACAGCGCGCACCGACTGCTCTGTCCAGGGAAACAGCAGCACACGCACAGCATGGCCAATCTGTGCCACCTCCTCAGGGCTCACAGCCTGCAGGCGCTGGCACAGCTGCGTGGGTGACAGCCCACTCACCCTCACCAGCACCATGTTGGTCTCCACGGTGACAGGATCCACGAAGCAGATGGGCGATGCCAGCTCCTGGAGACCTAGGCCAGGTCCTGTAGTGAGCAGAGCCCGACCGATCCCAGGCCCCTGCTATGGTCCCCACTCCCTGGAACTGTCACTTGGGAAAAGCAGACAGTATGAGAGAAAATAACACTGAATCCTGACATGGCCTTTGGGGTCACATAGGTATGACTGCTATTTTAGCTTTGGGCCTCCATTTCCCCATCAGTGAAGTGGGGACATTATGAGATTGTTGTGAGGATTCAATGAATGGATGAAAGATCCACATCTGGGCTACACATGCTGCTGGACTCTGCAGGGGGCCGCAGTTCCGGGCCCCAGTTCCTGACCCCACTGAGTGCCTGCTGCTGTCAGGGACTGCCTGAATTGGGGGCTGGGAGGCAGACAGACCCGGGTCCCACCTGCAGACTCAGTGCTAACCCCAACATCCTAGAGGCTTCAAGGACACAGACTTACGGGGATCTGGGCCTTGTTGCCGAGGACCCCCCAGGTGCAAGTTGCGGGGCAAAGGGAAGTAAGGGTGAGGGCAGTGCAGCACCTTTGGCAAATCTCTGGGCATTCGCATGGTCCTGCAGCAGGGCCTCCTCTGCATCAGCCAGACCCACCAGGGCTGCTGCAGCCAGCACCCCAGACTGGTGCATGCCCCCGCCCAGGGCTTTCCGGAAACGCCAGGCTTCTTCAATGAAGTCCTTGGACCCCCCGACCAGGGCACCCACTGGAGCACCCAGGCCCTGGGGAAGAGGAGAAACTCTCACTGCCGCATTCATAGCATCCTGTCCCTGGGCTGGGGAGGGGCAGCTGCTGTGGCACCGGGAGCCAAGAGGGGACCCCCACCCTACTTGGCCCTGGAAGGCAAACCCAGGGGTGTCCCCACCTTGGAGAAACAGAAAGACACAGAGTCACAGTGCTCCACGATGCGGGCAGGGGGCACACGTAGAGCCACCGCTGCATTCATCAGCCGGGCCCCATCCAGGTGGACTCGGGCCCCATAGGTCCTGGCCAGGAGGTGCACCTGGGATGAAGGGCAGGTAGAGGTCAGAGGGGCCAGGCCTGAGGAGGACCGGTCTCCAAAAGGCTCCCAAGTGTGGCCTTTGGAGTAATCCTGAGAGGTCTGGAGTCAGGAGCCTGGTTTGGTGACCAGCTCTGGGTATGTGGGACCCGAGCAGTCATATGGTACATTCTGACACAGGCGGAGGGCACGAATGTCTCACCTCTGGTAATTCACACGACACACTATGAGGGGGTCGCCAGGGTGCCCACTGGAGTGGGAACACAAGGTCAGTTAGCAGCTGGCTGAGTGTGCATGCCGGGGAGCAGCAGAACTCTGACTGCAGCCTCCTCACCTCACGTGCTGTGCAAAGGACCAGGGGAAGCTGAAGACCTCGATGTCTCACAGCCTCACCGGGGCCATGGTGTGGGGCCATGCTCTCAGTGGCTCTCAGTAGGCTCTGTGAGCACATGTGACACCTCTGCTCTTGAGTGAGTCTAGGGAACTGGGGTTCTAAACTGGAGCAGTTATTCCCTCTGCAGTCTCACCTTGGGCCTGCACACACCCCCTGTGACAGTCTGGCCACTGATGGGTGACACAGGGCCTGACACAGAGCAGCCGTCTCAGATGGGGGCTCGAGGACAGAGAAAGGCAGAAGTGGCCTGTTGTGGAGCATAGTGGGGAGCAGGCCTACCTGGCGGAGGTAGTCAATGGGCAGGACCCGGCCTCCTGAGCTGCTGTGTGTGTTCTCCAGGCACACAAGCTCACAGACTGGGTGGTAGGGGCTCCCATGGCCCCGAGCAAGCACCTTCTCCAGCTCATCCAGGTCCAGCGTGCCATGCGGCAGGTCTGGGAGTGGGTGGGAGAGCACCCCAGCAAGCTGCAGGTGGGGAAAGGGTAGGGGTCAGGTAGGCCCCGGGGTCCAGCAGCGCCCCCTGGCGGGAGAGAGGGTTGTCTGGTGCAGGGAGCCAGACCCCCGGTGCTGTGCCCGCTTCTCCCCAGCTCTGGCCCTTAGCCCTCTCCCTGTGCAGTTGGATGTGACATCCCATCCAAGGAGGGTCCTGGGACCCCTGTTCTGTTGACACTTGCCAGGCTGTCTTCAGGCTCCCCATCCCCAGTGCCAGTGTTCTGAGTGCCCACTAGGGGACAGCAGAGGACCAAGACACCAAGCACCGAACAGAAACAACTGTCCAGTATCCCTGGAGCCAGCCTGGGCCGCTGCTGCCCCCTAGTGGTAAATGTGAGAGCTGCTGCTCCTCCCACCTCCCTCAGCAACTTCTGTGCGGCTCTTTCACCCCTCTGTAGGTCCCAGCCGGCGCCTGGGAAGCAGGTTCCCACTTGAGCACCCTGCGCTGGCTAGAGGTTGCCCAGGGCCCTAGGGGAGCAGTACCTGGTTCTTACCTGAGCCACCCCGCCCTGCTCATAGACCTGGAGGTGGCACTCCTGCCCAAGGAGGAGCTGGGAGCCCCGGCGCCGGCAGTGACCCATCACTGAGACAGACGGGAGGAGGGCAGGACTTGGCATTGATTCTGCAGGGGTCCATCTGCCCTGCTCAGCTTGGCTAGGGTGAGCTGCAGGGCCATAGCAAGCTCACAAGCCTCTTACACCACTTGAGAAACTGCTCCTTCAAGACATCTTAACACCACATGCTAGAAAACTGTCACCCTAAATACGCAACTGTGGGTTGGCCACTCAATAAACACTGGGCCACACATAGTCTGCACCCAGCTTGTGGCACCATCTGCAGATCAGCACCTGCAGGAAGATGCCAGCCACACTGCCACTCCTTGGTGACAGGCGGCCCAGGGCACGAGCCGCTGTAAGGCTCCGGTGGGAAACTGAGCGGTGTTGGTATACAAGGTGGGGCAGGAGGAAGGAAGCCTCAGGGAAGGCCTGAAGGGGCGAAGATGGTGTGCATACAGAAATGGGGAGCTGGGCTGTGTGCTGAGGGCACCTCCGAAGGAGGAGCTGGGGAGCTGACCTCACTCCCACTTCTCCTGCCAGGTGGGGAGCAGGCGGACTGAACAGAAACCCAGAAATGCCATCCACGAATGGGTGCAGAGGGACAGAGGGTGCCCGCAGGACCTGGGGGCGAACTCACCAGAGATGAGGTTGGCCATAGTGTTGGTGGGCACAAACAGAGTCCGCTCCACCCCGAGAAGCTCTGCAGTCTTTTCCTGCAGCTCTGGAAGGGAGAGGGGTGGGCCAGGGAAGGTGTGATGAACAATTACCGTCAGAGCAGCTGCAGGCTGGCCATGCTCAGGCAAAGTCTGGAGAGTGTCCTTGAGAGGAGTACCCTAGGTGAGGCTACGGTGAGTGGCCAATGGGCAGGGCTGCAGCCCCAGCCTGCCTGTGCAGTCTGTCGGTAACCACACATCTGGGTCCCGAGGCCCCTCAGTCAACCCCCTGCACCCTACCTCCTCCGGGGCCATGGCCCTCCCCGCACCAGGCCACTAGAACTTTCTTGTGGTTTGAACCCCTTGTCCCACCAAGACCCACACCTGTTGCATTTCCTTTCCCATCAGCCCTGCCAGGTGGGGCTGCGGTTTTGCTGCTGACTTCCTCTCCCCCTCAGAAGGGGAGCCGCGGGGAGGCGGAGGGGGCATAAAAGGTGCAGCTGGAGGACAAGTGGGGCTCCTGCTTTAAAGTCTCTGGCGGCTCCCCTCCCTGACTGTAGCATCAAACTCAGATCTCTTGGCATGACATTCAAGGCCAGTGTGATCCGGCCTGCGCCCACTCCCCACTTCCTGTTAGTGACAGAGGTGCCCCTGCGCACTACACTGCAGCCACATTCTCCGCCTGTGTCCTCATGCTTCTGGAGCTCCCCGTGCCCAGAGCCCGGGCATTGCCATTATACTTTAGGAGGGCTCTTCAGGGAGGTCCTCCTTCCCTGTGAGCCATGAGCCTCTGCCTACCCGCTGCTCCACAAGGCACCCTCCACAGACTGCTGTGAACACAAGCACCTCCTCGGCCCTGACTTGGTGACTTACACTCCGGTGGGAGTGGCTGGGTGCCTGCATTTCTGCCGGGTTTTGGGTGGTGGGCTAGACTGAGAAGGAAGCGGAATGCAAAGCCTGGCCTGCGACAGGGGCTCTCTGAACGCCAGCTGCGCCACCACCCGGTCCTGGTCGCCCCCTCGCCAGCACCACGGACAACGCCCTGGGTCGCCTGGAGGACCCCAGCCCGGGGGCCTGCACGTCGAGCTCACCGCGGACAGTGGGGTCCTCGCCGTAGTCATCGTCCCCTACGACTGCCTCGGCCATGGCGCGGCTCACAGCTGGCCCAGGCCTGGTCACTGTGTCGCTGCGCAGGTCCACCACCTGGGCCGGGACCCCCGCCCGGCTCCCAGCCCACCGCGCCCAGGGTACCCTGAGCCCTAGAGCCGCCGCTCGGCCCAGTGCGCGGAGCATGGCGGAGGCAGCGGCGGTCTTCCCTCCCCGCCAGGAGCGGCAACCCTTCTCTTCCCAGGGGGTGTCCACTCGGAGCCGTGGCTCTGCGCCTTTGGACTTCCCTGACCTAGGACACAGTTTGGGGCCCCACGACATGCTGGGAGTTGTAGTCTGGACCGTGTGGTGGGGGCGTAAGCACGCCAGGCGGTGCCCGCGGCATGCTGGGAGTTGTAGTCCCCATTTCGTCACGGCGGCGACTAAACCTACCGGGGATACTGGAGCATTTTAGTTTTAGGGTTTTGTTTTGTTTAATTAAGGTACTTTACTATAATGGCTATAATTACAGCGCATGTCAAAGTGAAAACCGAAAACAAATGCACAAAACAGTTAATAATCCTATATATTGAAAGCAGTAAGAGGCTCTATGATGTCCAATAAACTAGGTTCTGTGGTTTCCCCAAGATAAACTTAACAGCTTCAGCTTCTTCCGTGTTTATCAAAATATGAAAGAAGAAAATAGAGGTTGTCTTTTTCGATGGGAAATTGGACGTTTGCAGGCTCAGGGAGGAAGCTACTTCACACGAGGACATGAGTGTGCTCTGGGGCCGTGGGTCTGGAGTGCACCTGTCACCAGACAAGGTCCCTGGAGGGCCCTGAGGTGAGGGACTTCAACTCACCCCAGCTACGGGGTAGCTTGTAGGATCACTGTCTTCTGTCACAGCAAAGAATTATTGAACTGTCAGTGAGAGGCATTAGAAAGGTTTACTAGGGCCGGGTGGGGCGGGGCACATCTGTAATCCCAGCACTCAGGAAGAGGCTGAGGCCAGCCTGGGCTAATAATGAGTTCAAGGCCAGCCTGAACTACATAGCAAGACCTTGTCTTAAAAAAACAAAAAAAAACCAAAAAAACCCCCCAAAAAACCGGTTTATTAGGCTGTTATTTTTAAAATATACACTCAGAATAGAGTGTGGGCCCTCCAGAGAGGTGCATTTGTGGTCTGGGGCTGGGGGATTTTATGTGGTCTTGGGGGTGTCCTCAAGAGGGGTGATCTGGTTTGTGTGTCCATACCGTCTGTCAGGATACCCATTTCGCGGGTGAGGTTAGAAGGCAGCCCATTTCCGTGTCTCTGAGGCTGAGATCTGGTGATTCCTGCAGGATGAGGTCTGTGGGAGGAAGAAGGAAGGCTCAGTTTACAAGCTTATTGTATCTTTAAGATCCTTAGAAATTTTTTTGGAGCTTCCTGGAAGGGAAAAGGGCATTGTAATGTTGGGTAACTTTGAGTCTTAGAGGTGCAGTTTTTTTCTTAAAGATACAATTATTACTTTTTTTTTGGTATCAGGAATCGAACTCAGAACCTTGCACTTGCCAAGCACACACTTGTGCCACTGAGCTACATCCCCAGCCCTTAAAGGGAACAGCCTTGAGCTAGCATTCAGGCTGAACCACAAACCTACACCAAGAGTAGCCTCCCTTCTGTGTGTTCAAGTGTCCTCCTGGTGCAGGAGGTTCCGTTTACCATGGGGGAAACTGAGGACATGCAGGGTTTTATAGAACCAACTTCATGTGGTTCTTACCATGTACTGGCCTCTGCCCAGGGCACTTTTCAAATTTACTGGTCTTTGTGGGCTGTTGGTCTCTGGAGCTCTTTGGTGTTGGCAGCTTTTAGTGTTTACAGCTCCTTTTGAAATGACCGTTCTGTCCACATTACTTTCAGTTAAGCCCCTCAGCAACTCTGGGAGACACCATTCCTTGTCCCTGTCTTACAGATGGGGAAATAGAGGTATCACAAGGTAATGAACACCCTAAGCTTACTTGGAACTGGTCAGGTCTGGGAGTCGGTTTCTTCCAGAGTCCAGTTCCTCCTCCTCCTCTTCCTCCTCCTCTCTGCGTGTGTGTATATGTATGTATGTTACTAGAAATTGGATCCAGGACTGCTGCACTACATTCCCAATCCTATTTATTTATTTATTTTCGTCTTTTTGAGACAGAGTCTCACTATGCAGTTCAGGCTGACCTCGAGCTCACTTTGTATCCCAGGCTGGTCTCAAATTCACAATGATCTTCCTGCCTCAGCCTCCCAAGCGCTGGGATTACAGGCGTGCACCACCACACCTGGCCTATTTATTTATTTAGAGACAGGGTCTTGCTAATTTGCCCAGGCTGCCCTTGAACTTGTGATCCTCCTGCCTCAGCCTCCTGAGTAACTGGAATACAGATGTGTACCACAAAGCCAGGTTTAAATTTCTACTCAGTATAGTTTTACTGAGTACCTACTATGTACTGGGCACTGTCTAGTAGGTGCCAGGCAGGACACGCAAGGTTGGATACAACTGGGTAAGAGTGTATAGCTTCATGGAGCACAAAGTGGAGTGGTTGAAGGGGTGGCTTAAGCACCTCCTCCTTCACACACTCCTGCTTTAGGGGGGCAAGGGCTTTCGCAGAGGTGGGTAGGGGCCCAGAGCAGGCCATCCTGCCCTTGCTTGGAGAACCCAGCTTCCTGGAGGAAGCTTTGAAGGCAGAGGTGGGTACCAACCAGGCAGTGGCAGAGGGGCTGGGACGGCATGGACACAGACTTAGGCAGGCAGTTGCTGGGGAACCTGAGGTCCAGCGTGGCTGGAGAAGTGGCCAAGGATGGCAGGGACAAAGCCACTGCCGGGGTCAGGGCTGCTCTCAAGGACCATCCTGGAAAGGTGGAAGTCTCACATTCCTGTAGCTTTGTGGCTCCAAGGCTGTCTACCTGATGAAGGGCTTTCTGTCCCCTCACAGTGTGGCTCCCCTCTGGCCCTGACCCACTCTCCATGAATCCCGAAATTCCGGACTTGTAGAAAACAAACCCCTTATCTCATTGTCTGGCTCTACCCTGCGGCTGGGAAGTGTGGGGCAGAGACTGGAGACCTCTGTGGGAAGAGAGACAGATAGTGTTATGGATAGTGTTTTGGGTTGTGTCTAGATGTACACCCAAACCTCATGCAGTCATAGGTGGGGCTTTTTTAGAGGTGGCTGCATCTGGAGTGTGTGATGCTGGGATTGATTCATGATGTAATGCTAGGATCAAGGGCACTAGGATTAAGGTGTGAGTGCTACCCGCCCTAAGTATCCTGGATAAGATATAAGGGATAGGAAGAGCTATGATTATCCCTTGCTTGCCTTGCAACTAACTGTCTGCCCACTGTGAACAGTTTCTCCTCGGCCTATCTGCCATGCCACCCTGCCTTAGAGCCAGCTGATTATGAGCTGAAACCTCTACAAACTGTGAGCTAAATAAACCTTTCCTCCTTTACCTTTGGGTGTTGCGTATTCAGCAGGGAGAGAAAATTAACTAAGACAGATGGGCTGGGAGCAGCCATGGTAGCTCTCAGGGGAGTGGGGAGAGAGGGGACGAGGGAATGGTCCCAGGCACCCCTCAGCTGGGGCAGAACCACAGAATGGCCTGTTTGCAGGCCTTGGCAGTTTGCAAAGCCTCCCCGGCTAGTCTCCCTGCTAATCCTCACAGCAGCTTGGGGAGAGGGACAGAGCAAGAAGGCTAGAAGAATCTGAAGCCCGAGGACCCCACCCAGGCAATGTAACTGGTCACCAGACTGGGCCTTTCTTCTCCCAGGGCAGACCTGTCCCCCTCCAGAGATGGCCTCTTTGTTGGGAAAGTGAGGACAGACAGATTTCATCTGTCAAGTTCTTTTAGTTGGCCTCCAGCCCCAGCCCCACCTTGGCCCAGTGGGATCTGCAACACTGGGGGGTCAGGAAGGCGGGGTGTCCTAAAAGACCCATTGGTGTGGCCTGACACTGTGGTGCATGCCCTAATCCCAGCTACTCAGGAAGCTGAAGCAAGAGGATCACAAATTTGAGGCCATCCTGGATAACTTAGTAAGACTTTCTCAAAATAAAAGATAAAAAACAGGCTGGGGAGCTAGAGATATAGCTAAGTAGTACAGTCCCTGCCTGGCAAGCTCAAGGTCCTGACTTCGATTCCTGGTACCAAAAAAAAAAATCCAGGCTGGGATATAGCTCAGTGCAAAGGCCCTGGGTTCAGTCTCCAGTACCAAACATGCACACATGCACATACATATAAACAACAGGTGCAGTGAGGCATTGCCTAGGTTCATGTGGGTATATTGTACACAAGTATGTATCTATATGTGTACATATGTATGGGTTGTATATGTGTGAACATGCATGTAGTATAAATGTTCATACATGTAATGTACATATATACCCATGAAAGTGGGTATATGTATATATGATGTGTTCATACCTGTCCATATACGCCCATGTGTATATGTGCAATCCATGTATGGGGCATGTTCACACCTGTGTATGTTTGTGGGAGGGTATGTATGTGTGTGTCCGGGTGTTTATGTGGGTGTACATATGTTTGTATGGCTTACTGACTGCACCCGAGCTCCGAGTCATCCTGATAGTAGCTGAGGGCAGGTCACAGCTACGAGGCTTGGCTGAGAATTCTCCACCGAGCCAATCCTCCTTGCCCTCTCCCTTGTCCTGGGCCTCCGCTAACCCCTGCCCTCCTCCTCTAACTCTCAGCAGGAGAGTTCCCACTGCCAGAGGCCGGGGGTCACCTCCTGTTTCCATGCATCAGCTGTGGCCTTCTCTTTCAGCAAACAATGCCTTAGCCAGGCCTCCTGGGTTCCTGTCTGGGCCCAGCAGGCCCCCAGCCTCCCACGCTGCTGCGCTGCTGGCCCTGCCCTCAGCCCTGGGTGTTGCCTGGGCTCTGCGGCTCCAGTCCCAGTTGCTTCTCATCTGTCCTCTAGTCTGAAGGTGACATTTCTGGACCTTGGGTGTGTTGGCCTCTCTTTTACCTACATTTCCTTTCTCCCGAAGCCCCCGGACCCTTAGCATGTGTCCGTGTCATCTCCTCAGTCTTTGTGTTTCAGCTGAGACACCTCCTCCTCAAGGAAGCTCCCTGGGGTACCTGTAGTGCCATTCCTCCCACTGCCTTTGGCCACAGCTTTGGGTTCCTCCTGGCTGCTCGGCTCTGCCCAGGGCTCCCTTAGCACATCTTGAAGGCCTAGCCCAGACCAGGACTTGGTAAAAACCACCTGAATGGTGACAAGGCAGGGACCGTGGCTGGACATCCCTAGCCCTGGGCCCCCAGCTGCATGGCTGGAGGACACACATAGGTCCTACCACAAAGGACAGTCTA